CATTACATGGAGAGCAGATCAAGTTAAGAGAAGGTCAGTAGACTGGGCCCTATTGGTATCCTTATAAACAGCGGAAAATCTGGACACAGAGACATAAAAATGCCATGTAAAGACTGGAATGATGCTGCCACAAGGCAAGGATTACCAAGAGCTACCAGCAGCTGGAAGAGGCAAAAGGGATTCTCCCCCAGAGCCTTCAGAGGGGACACCGCCAGCAACTTCATCCCAGATGTCTGGACTCCAGAACTGTGATGGAATACATTCAGTTCTTGAACCCATCTCATTTTTCACTCTTTGCTGTGGCAGCCCTAGGAAGCTAATATAAAACTCAATCATCATAATCAGCAAGCATTCATTAAGCACCTACTATGTTCAAGGCAGAGACCTAGGCTTTGGGAAGAAAGAATTAAAAGACTCAACCTCATTTCTTTATGTGTCTGTGGATGTGCCTATATGTTATACAAATTTTGCAGAAATATATATTTATACCTACGTGAAGTTCTTAGCAGCAGATGTCTAGGTCCCAAGTGAAAGGGGCAGCCTGGATGTCCTGCAGGTCAAGACAGGAGTGACCACCACAGCACATGGAAGTCAGGGAAATTATCAGAAGGGAAGTGGGCCCTAAGCTGAACCCTGAAGGACAGGTAAGACTCGGATAAACTGAGACACGGCAGGGAAGGGCCTCCAAGCATGGCTAGGGCCTCAGCAAGGGTTATGAAGAGGGAAGAGATGTCATATGTTTGAAAAATAAATGCAGGAAGGAGGAGAGGCAGGACAGGCAGCTTCAGGCAGGAGAATGATGCCAGGAAGCTCTAAGGGGGTAAAAACAATGACCCAGGGCCACTGGGCTTGGCGTTCAAAGGGAAGAGATTCAGCATTTCCTCATTACCTCTCTAATCCATATTAAAAACCAGACACTGTGGGGGGCACTTTGATATATTAGCTCATTTACTCTTTGAAACCAGGCATGGCTGTGTCTACTTTAAAGAGGAGGAAGCTGTGCACTTGGGAGCTCATCTGTGGTCTGCAGAAAGTAGTATCCAGGCAGTTGATGTCTTCCGAAGGACTAAAAGGAACAGGTGCCAAGGCATCTGTCTTAGGGGTGGGAAACCTCCAAATACACCCCACAGACCCTTGACTCCATAAATGGTGCTGACTCTGTTGTAATTGCATCCAGCAGCTTCCAAACACACCTTGGTGGAACTGGGCAAAATGGGCCATCCTCAAACCACCTCCATTTTCAGTAATTCCTCTCTCTATGACTGGAGACAGTGGATTGAAGAACGGCCCACCAGGCAGCAGCCTCCATGCCTGGCCAGCTGTCTCACGGCATCATGGCATCCCCGCAACATTAAACACCTCCCACAACAGTGTGAAAGACTAAGGAAGGCCCAGGCTGCCCTCAGTCACCTGCAGCTCTAACAGGACCCTGGAAATTTTTGAGAAGTCTCACTTCAAGAGAAGTCACTCGGGCCATTTACATCTTTCTACTCACACATCTGAGCCAGCTCCAATCCCATGGCCTTTGCACACAAAAGACCCCCCTTCAAAGGAACCAATGTTATATGACCAAGGAAGGTCATCCAGAGTTTTGACACCTTGCAATTCCATGGGTTCCAAGGAAGGGAAGCCACGATGAAACCACATCCAAGGAAGTGGTCCCTCCAGAGTTTCCTTGCTGGTGCATGGCCCTGGCTCTCGGTGACTCATGCAAGGAACGTGGCCAGGACATGGTGATGAAATCACTCAGAGCAGCCTCCCGGTTACCCCCAGATCCTTCAAGGGCTGCCAACACCCAAGACTTCATCCCTGGGGAAACAACAGTCCCACCCTCCTCTCCTCTACCCCAGTTCTTCTGCAATGAGTCACCAATGCGTCACAGACAGGCACTTAGACTACACCTGGTCCACCTGGTGTAAGAACTATTGTGGTGCCTACACTATCCCAGCAGTGCCTGTCCTGAGCTCCTCAGGGCCTTGGAGTTCTCAGCCTTCCACAGGAGGGTGTCTGGGGGCTGAGGAGTAAAGGGAGACTGGGAAGACTCGGGCCCCCATTAGCACCACTTTTGCTTGGTTTGCATGTGAGAGTTCAGTAAAACATTTTGATTTTTTTTTTTTTTAAAAAAAGAGGTTCCTGTTGACTTAACAAGTTTGAAAAGCACTATTCAAGACAAGTAGGCAAATTGGCACACAATTTGGTTATTGATTCCACTTGACACAGATAAACACATGAGGCTCCTTCCTTGGGAATACTTGATTCTTCCTCTGTGGTGACAGACCTTCCAGGGCCCTCCAGCATCTACCTCCCCAGTGTTGGAACTCAGAAACCTTTCCCAAACATCTCCCAAGGCACGCAGCTTTGGGTCTAACTCGAAAAGACTGTATTTTCCCAGTCCCTCTACCATCTGTACCAACAGGCACAGCCACCAGGCTCCTGTCTTATCCCTCACTCCAGCTTAGGTCCCTTCTTCAAAAACTGTTCTAAGCAGTCTGAGCACCTGGACACAGCCCAGCCCCATGTCTCGGACCAAGGCGTCAGCTCTAGAAGGGACTGGCAGGGAGAGGAGCAGTGAGGACACATGAGGACAATCCCTAGTGACAGACAGCCCCACTCACGCCTGCTCATCAGCAGGGGTGCAGCAGCGGAAGCCTGGTCACTCCCCCTCTCTGTTCAGGAGCTTTACTCCCTAACTTTGTCTTGGGAGAATGTTCAAAGCTACAGAGAAGCTGAAAGAGCCTTCAACTACATAACCATAGTATCATTATCACAAGAAAATTAACATTTATTCAATAATATTTCATGTAACGTTCATATACAAAATTGTATAGTCATCCCAGTGTATCTTTTATAGGCTTTTTTTTCTGGCCAAGATCTAATCCAGGTTCACTCATTACATTTCATGTTAAGTCTCTTTTGTCTCTTATCTGCAACAGAGTCTCATCTTTTTTAAAAATAACATTGAATGTATTGAGAAATTCAGGCCAATTGTTTTGTGGATGGTTTCTGTTTCCTTATTATTAGATTCAGTTAAACAAGTTCGGCATGACTATTACATATGTGATGTTGTCACCTCTTAGCTGAATCACCTCAGAAGTTATATAACATCAGCTTGTCCCACCATTGGTGTAGTTAGGTTGCATCACTCAGTTGAAATGCTGGCTGCCTGACTGTTCCACTGCGAAGGTACTGTCTCTTTAGAATCAGTAATTTGTTAGGGTGATGCTTTGAGACCACATGAATATCCTATAATAATCCTTCCCCAACTTATTTTTGCATCTATTGATGAATATACCTGGAGGTTACAAAACAGAGATTTTCTAAACTTATTAGCCAGTGTTCTATAAAAAAGAGCCTTCTCTTTTTTATCCTCTCATCTCATGCCTCTCCTTCTCCAATTATCACTATAAACATATGAATCTTTCTAATATTCGATGCGTAATAACCCATGACTATCATTATTCTTTTTGATGCTCCCGTTGTTCCAATTTTGGCCAATGAAAGCCCTTTAAACTGGCTGCCACGTCCTTTACTAGGACTCCATCCGTCTCTGAGTGACACTTTATTTTCCAGAGGTCCCAGATCCACCTCATCTTTTCCCTGCTCCAACCCAGAACCAGCTGTTTTTCCGAATCCTTTTTAGTGGAACTCATCTACTTTTTGTAGGCAGATCGGCAATTTTACATCTTCTCACCTTTCTCTAGTCCGAACTTCATTTCCTTTCTCCCTACTTCCCTTCCCTGTCACTCATCATTTGCATTAGGACAGGGAGCTCTCTGTCCTTGGGAGAAAGTGGGGAGGAGAAGGCAAGGAGAGATAGAGACCTACGGTAAACGGAGGGACATTATCAAACACGTAGCAGCGATGAGAAGCTTTCTTTTTTTATAGTTGACAACATTAGCGGTTAACTCCAAAGCAAAGCTCGTATTTCAAGAGGACACTATGTCATGATTCCATTTGTGAAACTAATATCATACCATTTTATTTTATTTTATAATCCTATGAAATATGTACACAAGAAAAAGTACTGCCCGCTTCCTGGCACCCCATCCTCTCCTCTTGCTTTGTCTCCATCAGCACTTACCACCTCCTAACCTCTATAAAATGTACTTAATTATTTCACTTACTTTCATTCTTGTCCCACTAGAATGGAAGTTCCATGGATTGGTTTACTACCTCGTTCACTACTATATTCCTACTGCCTAGAACAGTGCCTGGAATACAGTAGGTGCTCCATCATTGTGAGTGAGTCAAATAGGTTAGCCAGGACCACAGGCCTAGAGGTCAGAAGGACCCCCTCTTTATCCTTCAAGGCCCCAACTTCACTGTCACCTCCCAAGCAGTCAGTTATTCCCTTCTCTGTGTTCCCAGATTCCTTCTTACAGGGCTGGATCCTAACACCTAAAATATCGCATCATCATTGTCTCACCCAGAAAACTGCAAATTCCTTCAGGGTAAGGACGTACTTATCTTCATGGCCTCGGCACTTAGCACAGGAGCTGGCATAAAAATGTTTGCTGAATGCCCCCTACCCCCAGCCACGAAAGTGCCCTTTCCCCACACCATGCTGCCTGCCAGGCTTTCCTGTCTCCTGCGGGAGCAGGGGCCCCAGCGGCCACTCCAAGCTGCTGAGAAAGGTTCCAACCCTGCCAGCCGCTCACAATAGGCCCTTTGATGCAACTGGATTGGGCCGTTTCAGGAAAATCCACGTTCCCCGCCACAGCACCTGTCACTAAGGCCCGTGTCCCTGCAGCTTCAAGGTAACACAGAGCCACACTGTTCACCAAGAAACAAGAGCAGGGCACGTCGCTGGCAGAGCCAGCTAGGGAGAGCTCTCTGTCTTCTGGAAAGACGGGAGATGAGGTGGGAAGGTTGAGAGGGCCTTCTCCTCAACAGAGGTGCTGACACTCAGCTTCTGGGAATGGCCTGGTTAGGGGATGGGAGAGTCGGTTAAGGGTACAAAGACTGGAACTTATCGGGGCTTTGCCTCAGAGATATCTTACCTGCTCTTTTCTCTCTATCTTTTTTTCACTCTGCTCAGGAACTGGATTCTCAGGAGGTACAGTCAGCCGTAGTCTGCAAACATTTGCCTAGAAGAAAGGGAAAAGAGAGGCCAGTTAGGAGCCAGCATTTGGGGCAGAAGGAGCCAGGTGACCTTGGACTTCTCACAGCCTGTTTCCCCTACTTCCAGAGGGGGCCACTGCCCCGATCACACAGGGGCCTGTGAAGATATGGCCAGCCTTATCTTCACAGTCCCAGGCCAGCCTGGTACAGCACAGGCACCTACCACCCTCGTGCTCAGAGAAGGAAACTATCAAACAACTTGATCAATTTCAAACATTTCTTTACCAGTGGCTCAGGTTGCATAACAATATATATAGAAAGATCTCATTTCACAAGTACAGGCAAAAATATAGCTAGCAGGACAGAAGCCAAAATATACACAGTGAATATCTCTATTTAAATGGGAGGATGCTTTCTACTTGCCTATGTATTTAATTTTCCAAATACACACGTACATGCTTAATCGCAACTGTTTTTTCAAAAAAGTCCATATACTCATGTTCATAGCTGCATTATTCATAATAGCCAAAAGGAAGCAACCCAAATGTCCACGGTCAGATGAACGGATAAACAAAATATAATTTATAAATTTATACATACGATGGAATACTACCCAACATTAAAAAGGAAGGAAATTCTGACACTCTACAACATGGATAAACCTTGAGGACACTATGCTAAGTGAAATAAGCCAGTGGCAAAAAAAGACAAATATTGTACGATTGTACTTAGATGAGGTACCAGGAGTAAGAAAAATCATAGAGACAGAAAGTGGAACTGTGGTCGCCAGAGGGTAAGCATATGGGGAAAGTTCGTATTTAATGGGCATGGGATCCCCGTTTTGGAAGATGAAGAAGTCCTAGAGATGGATGCTGGTGCCAGCTGCACAGCAGTGTGGATGCACTTAACGCCACTGAACTATACACTTAAAAAGGGCTAAAACAGTAAATTTTATGAGTACGTTGCTACAATTTAAATGCAAAACAAAAAAGCTCTCCCTGTTTGCTGAATATGGACTAAAAGTAAGACAGTTAGCTAGAAAGGCATAGGATAAAAAAAATATCATGCTTATGAGTTAGTAAGACAGCTGACTCCTTAATTAGCTATACCACCATGAATATTTTGTCACTAGCCACTGAGATTCTGATGTCAGTTTATTAAAGGCTGCCAACAAGCTTCACTGAAATGTTGGAATACAGGTTCCTAAATGATCTTTTAAAGTCTAAATTGCACTTTTTTTTTTTTTTTTTTTGAGATGGAGTCTTGCCCAGGCTGGAGTGCAATGGCGTGATTTCAGCTCACTGCAACCTTTGCCTCCCAGGTTCAAGCAATTCTCCTGCCTCAGCCTCCCGAGGAGCTGGGATTACAGGCATGCACCACCAACCCCGACTAATTTTTTGTACCGTTAGTAGCGATGGGGTTTCACCATGTTGGCCAGGCTGGTCTCAAACTTCTGACCTCATGATCCACCTGCCTCAGCCTCCCAAAGTGCTGGGATTACAGGCATAAGCCACCGCGCTCGGCCTGCACCATTTCTTTTAAAAGCAAAAAAGCATTACAGCATTCAGTGAGAGAAGCTGCAACTTGTATGATTTATCATATTCTGTTAACAAAAGGTGACTATGCGCAAAGTCATTTTCCTACCCAACAGAGAGAAAAATAGACTACTGTAATCTGCAGTATGAGGGGACAGTAACAGTAATAATAGTAATAGCTAACCATGTATTTAGCACTTGCTGTATGCCAGGCACCTTCTAAGTGTTTTATAGGTATTTATTCATTTAATTCTCCCCACAAACTTATGGTAATAGGTTCCCTAACCTGCCCAATTTTGCAGGTGAGGAAGCTAGGCCTCTGAAGGGTTACATGGCTGGGAAATGGCAGAGCTCAGGTTTGAATCCAGGCAGTCTCCAGGGCGTGCATTCTTAGCTCTTATACTCATGGCCCTCACCACATGCCTGAAGTGCCACATGGGCTCAATTCACAGGAGTGCTGTTTGCTCCCTAGTATGGGTTGAATCCCCCTAAAAATCATCTGTTAAAATCCTAACCCCTGGCATCTCAGAATGTGACCTTATTTGGAGACAGGGTCATTACAGAGGTAATCAAGTAAAAATGAGATCATAAGAGTGGCTCTAATCCAAAATGACTATTGTACTTATAAGAGTGGGAAAATTGGGGACAGGCACATATACAGGGTGAACGTCATATGAACATTAAGATGACCCATCAACAGCCAAGGAGAAGTGCCTGGAACAGATAGTTCCTTCAGAGACCTCGGAAGAAACCAACCTTGCCAACACCTTAATTTTGGGCCACTAACCTCCAGAACAGTGAGACAAGGAATTTCTACTAAGCCACTGGCATTGTGGTAGTTTTCACGGCAGCCCTAGAAAAAAATCCTTTCCACCTCACCCCAGTCTGGTTGGCGGGGTCACAAATGTGCACTGGTTCACAGGGTGGCTCTGAGGAACACTACCCTGCAGCCTGGAAGCCCAGGGCTATCTAGACAGGATTGTCAAAAACCTCTTGAGTTCAACCTGCCCACCTATGAAGGAACCCGACACCCAAAATGCACCTGACAGGTGGGCACCAGCCTGTTCATTTTCCATGAACAGGTTACGGGGCCCAGGTTTGGGAATGATATTAGCCACTTCCACATATATCACTGCCTCCTTCCAAGGCATTCCATTTTGCCACCAGGCACCTCTAACTTCCTGATCTGAGCTTACACCAGAATGTCTACCTAATGGAGTCAGGGTTGTCTTCGGACGGCAAAAGAATTCCCCTTTCTCTAGACAGTCCTCCTGTCCCTTGAACCTCCTTTCTTCCAGACCAAACAACTCCAGTTCTTTAAGTCCCATGACTTTGCTTCAAGACCTCGCTCCATCATCATTCTCCTCTGGTCAAGCATCTTCCCGCAAGGACCCCAGAATCAGATGTGGCCTGACCCCCAGGGCTATCATTGCCTCTTCTGCGGCTAACTTTGCAAGCAACCTTCAAAGCTCACCGTCAGTCATGTTGGCCAAAAAAAAATCAAGCCATACTACCAGTAGCTCTCTTTCCTGATAGGCAACAACACTGATAGAAATCTTGAGTCCCTCCTGAGAAAAGCAACCCTCTGGCTCCAGGCCCCTCAGACTGGTTGAAAGAAGTCTGACATTTACACAAGCATCAAAGTATAATTCAGACCACATAGACAATCCAAATCGTGGTGCTCAACAATCTCCTGTTACACTGGGTCTAGTCCATGCAGAATTGTACAAGGAAAAGGAAGTGCTTTTCTCCTGCTTCACATATCATACACACACACACACACACACACGAGTGCACACACGTACATATATGCCTAGGCACACACACAGGCTACAACATCTAGCTGTGTGTCTATGGGAAAGTCAGTCTCACTGAATCTCAAGGGTAAAATGGGATAAAAGGAAAGTGTCACATAGTAAGCCTCTATGAATATTAGATATTTTATTTTTATCATTTATTTATTTTGTGACCAGGTGTTGCTCTGTCACCCACGCTGGAGTATAGTGGTGCAATCATAGCACTGCAGTATCAATCTCCTGGGCTCAAGTGATTCTCCAAGCTCAGCCCCGCCAAGTAGCTGGAACCACGGGCATGCATCACCATATCTGGCTAAGTTTTTTTATTTTTTTGTAGACACAGTCTTACTATGTTGCCCATGTGGGTCTCAGAATCCTGGGCTCAAGATATCCTCCTGTCTCAGCCTCTAAATGTGTTGGGATTACAGGCATGAGCCACTGCACCCAGCCAGATATTTTTACTGTTATCTATATATTATCATTATCCTATATGCTTCATAATCAGACCTGCTTAGCCTCACAGCCCTGTTTCCATGAAAATAACAATTTGGTCAATGAATCAGAGATGCTAACACTGTAAGTGATGACTTTCGTTTGGCTGATTATTCTAGGGGGATAATCCTTAACAGTCATAATTTTCAGAAAGGAGGCCCTATGGGTCCAATCACTCAAAAGTGAGTTGGTCCCTCCCCTGGCTTGAGTCCATTCTTCATCTGCCCATGTAGAGATTTTATAATCTTCAACATACTTCCTATGATGAGATGGGCACACCTTACACATGAAGCTCTCACACTGAGCCATACTTTATTACTCAGTTACTAAGGACCCACTACTTGCGAAATACTCTTTAGGGGCTATGAGGGTACCACGATGACAAAGAAACAGCTGTACCACACAGGAGTGCTAATCTAGAAAACTCCAAAACAAGGCCACCAAAAACACTTGGAATAACCAATACGAGGTGTAGCGAGCCAGGATAGCTTTGTGACTAAAGCATGGTGGAAATGCACTTCCTGGCTTCCACTATTGGTTCTGACACCTACTAGCTTTGAGACCTTTGGAGAGCCACTTAGTCTTCAGTGCTTCCATTACCTTAGTTGTAAAACAGAGCTAACAATACTGTACCCTCTTAGGAATATTGTGAGGATTAAATTAGCTAATGTGTGTAAAGAGCTTAGGACAGTTTCTGGCACACATTAAGCACTCTGTAAGCATTCTTTATTATTATAGGAATATAGGAAGAAGAACACTAGCCCTAATGGGAGGTGGGAGTATATGGGAAGGTCCCTCAGGATGACATTTGAGCTGGGTATAGAAGGACAGAAAGGACTTTTCGGGTCAGTGAGGTCTGGAGAACCCACCATCATAACAACAGAAAGCTATCAGGAACACGTTCTAGTCCGTGCCAAATGCACATATGTCAGCATGTTCTGAGAATAAGTGAACCTGTAGACTAAGCCTAGGTAGGACAGGAAAATGGACAAATAGGTAACGCCCAAACTATCAATCTACAAATGCATGATGGAGAAGCACTAGCTGTAGTCAGAAGACAATGAAGAGCCATTCAAATCTTTGGAGGAAGAGACTAACATTCAAATCTGAGTTCATTTCAATAATCCAGCTGGTTATTTTTCAGTGCCTCCTGTGTTCCATGCACCAGAAAATGGATGAAAGGGAAAACACAGGGGGAGTGAT